GTTTTGCATGCCTTGGCGGTTAGACCATTGACCACGCGTCCTCGAGAGGACAGAGCATTTGTCCCACAGGACCGATAGGACCGATCACCGACGGCCAATCGTTCCTTTCTACTTTGCCAAAGGTGACTCAAAAATGTCTTCCCTGGTCTGTCTATCCTAACGATATCCCTTCCCGCCTTTTCAACCCACCTCCTATGCCCCANGACATTCCGCGACTACATGAACACGGTCTTCGCATTCGAAGCCGCAATCACATTTGAACTCGTCGTCTTCGTCGTCTACCGTCCTATGTCTTAGTCGACGTTCTCGAAGGCCTACGTCCCCGTTCCTGAATTCGACCTTATGCTTTGTTCCTGCATCCATTGGTCCATGTAGGTAATCCTTGAACCCTATTCCTTCCTTCAAAATTCCGTGCATTTCTAGACCCTCCGCATCCTTGGATTCTTCNATTTGAACTCGTCGTCTTCGTCGTCTACCGTCCTATGTCTTAGTCGACGTTCTCGAAGGCCTACGTCCCCGTTCCTGAATTCGACCTTAAGCTTTGNGACAGCCTTGACCCATTCCGTGGGTTGTCTACCCCTCTTTTTGTTTGCCCACTTCGCCTCCCATACAAATCTCGGCAATCTCTCCTCTCCCATCCCGCACATGCGATACTGCCATGTCAGCTTCCTCGCGTCTCTTCCCGACCGTAGGGATTGGATACTTGTGCGCTTGGAGCATCCTAGGATGATTTTCGCTGCTTTCATCTGCGCCGCCTCGACTTCTTTCATTACCTTCTTATTTCCTTCCCATACTTATCCGGCGTACACTAGCGGCGGTTTGATCACGCTCTCCATAACCGCCAATTTGATGCGCGTATCGAAGTGCCGGTTTGCGAGTATTGGGTGCAGCTTCCCTGCTCGTGCTTTGCCCTTTTCCGCTACCTTGGACATGTGTGCATTCCACGAGCAGTCTTTTGCGATCTCTACTCCGAGGTATGTGTACTGGTCCACTACTGCAATCTCCTCGATCCCCCACTTCCATCT